AATTTAAAATAATTTTTATCTTTATTTATTTTATTCTAAAAAAATAAAAATAAAGATGCCATATTAACCTATTAAAAATTTGAGATAATTTCTATCTTAAAATTTTAAGTTTGATTTTTATCATGTGTACAGTTAATTTAACATTGTATTAACGTTTAATTTTATTTAATGATTAATTAATTTACACTAGTAATATATAATGCAATAATGGATACGTAATTAACTTTTTTTTTTAATATATAATGCAGAAAGGCTATTTTATCCAATGGAGGTCTTATCTCGTGTTGGAGATTCTTGTTTATCTGCTATATTTGACTTGCTATCCGAAAAGTTAAAGGAATATCTAAGTAATCAACTATGGGATTCAAAGGAGGAAATACATGCCCATATGGAAAGCTGGATGACTCTATTACCCAAAATTACTGCTCTACTTCAACATGCAGAAGAAAATCAAGTTGCCAACAAGTTTGTGAAGTCATATCTTGATGATCTTAGGGACTTGGCTTATGATATGGAGGACATACTCGAAGAGTTTGTGATTGATGCCAAGGAATCTAAAGTCGGACCTAGCAAGCGACAAAGAATCATCTCCGGTGTCAAAAATTTTTTTAGCTCTAATAAGGCTAAGCCCAATCAAGAGATTAATTCCATGGTGATGGACTTGAGTAGTAGATCGCAGAAAATTGAATATGGGATGCGTAGTTTGGGCCTGACTAATTTGGCTTTGAAACTTGAAGATAGGTCTCACAAAGTAGCTGCAAAAAGACTACCTGAGTCTTCTCTTCTTGAAGATAAGGTGTGGGGTCGAGATAGAGAAAAAGATGCTATTCTTCAGAGGTTGCTAAAAGATGGAGGTAGTCTTGAACAAGACTTTGTTATTCCCATTGTCGGAATGGGTGGACTAGGCAAGACAACTCTTGCTCGGCTCATTTACAATGATGAAAAACTAAAAGGCAAGTTTGACTTGAAGGCATGGGTTTGTGTTTCTGATGAGTTTGATGTTGCTCAAATAACAAGAACCATTTTTGAACATGTAACTGGGAAAAGTTGTGACTCTGATTTTGGTTTGCTTCAAGAGAAATTGAGAGGGGAGTTGTCTGGGCACAAGTTTCTTCTTGTATTAGATGACGTTTGGAATAAGGAATATGGCCAGTGGGATGTCTTGAAGAGACCTTTCATGTCAGGAGCTCTTGGAAGTAAAATAATTGTCACAACTCGAAATAAGGATGTTGGGATGATGATGAGAGGAGATGATGGAGTTTACAATTTAGCATTGCTACAAGATGATGCTTGTTTGCCATTATTTACACGACATGCATTGGGGAAAGAGAACTTTGATGCACACCCAAACCTACAAGATGTTGGTGAGAAGCTTGTTAAGAGGTGTAAAAGATTGCCATTAGCACTGAAGACCCTTGGTGGTGCCTTGCGGGTAAAGCTAGGTCGTGATGAGTGGGAAATTGTATTAAACAGCGACATATGGAGTTCATCTGAAGATAAAATTCTTCCTGCGCTGAGATTGAGCTACAATCATCTTCCTTCTCACTTGAAGCGATGCTTTGCTTATTGTGCTTTGTTCCCTCAAGACTATGAATTTAAAGAAAAGGAGTTGGTTTTATTATGGATGGCGGAGGGCTTATTGCAGCAACAGTCACATGGAAAGAAGCAAATGGAAGAGGAGATCGGCCATCAATATTTCCATGAGTTGTTCTTAAGATCACTCTTTCAGCAATCAAGTACAAATAAATCATGGTTTGTGATGCATGACCTCATAAATGATTTAGCTGTACATGTTGCTGGAAAAATATTTTGCAATCTTGAACGTAGCATGGGTGATGAAAAATTAGAGAAAGCTCGTCATTTGTCATTCACTCCACATGAGTATGAAATTTCAGAGAGATTCACAATCTTAGATAAATTGAAGCATTTGAGAACATTCTTGCCACTTCTTGGTGACAAAACTTGCTTGTATTTGTCTAAAAGAATCTTGCATGAGTTCCTACCAACATTAAATCGCTTAAGAGTGCTATCTCTTCACCACTATAAGATAAGAGAGCTACCAGAATCTTTTCAAAATTTGAAACATATTCGGTACATTGATTTTTCTTATACAAGTATCAAATGTATACCTGAATCAGTGGGTTCTCTTCTCTTCTTACAAACAATGCTATTATGTGGTTGTGGTGGGCTTAGTAAGTTGCCTATGACAATTGGAAATCTAATTGATCTCCATCATCTTGATATCACTGATACATCATCTTTAAAAGAGATGCCATCAGGAATAGGCAATCTTAAAAATCTTGTAACATTGTCCAAATTTATTGTGGGGAAGACAAGTGGAATGATGACAAGATTATCTGATTTGAAGAACTTGTCGCAACTTCAAGGAAGACTATCTATTGAAGATTTGCAGAATGTTTTGGCTATTCAAGATGCTAGGGAGGCCAACCTAGACAAGATCCATGGTTTGGAGAAGTTAGTCTTGAAGTGGACTACTTCTAATAATGATCTGGAGCGGACTACTTCTAATTCTGATTTGGAGCAGACTACTTCCAATAATGATCTGGAACAGACTACTTCTGATAATGATCGAGATGAATTAGTCCTTAAAATGCAAGTCCTTAGCTGTCTAAAACCTCATTCAAATTTAAAAAGTCTCAAAATTTCTTGCTATGGTGGTGAGAATTTCCCTCCCTGGGTTTGTGATCCATCACTATTTCTTAATTTATCATCTATGAAGCTCAACCATTGTGAGAGATGCACTTTGTTACCATCACTTGGCCTACTAACTGTTCTAAAAGAATTAATTATTGAAGGCATGGATTCAATAGAAGCTATAGGTTCTGAGTTTTATGGGCGGCATGGCTCTTTTCCATCACTGGCTGAATTGGTGTTTAGAAACATGCCAAAGTGGAAGGAATGGACTTCTTCAGCTGAAAGTGCAGGTGAATTCCCTTGTCTTCATAGGCTTGTGATTGAAAATTGTCCTAAGTTGTTAGGACAATTACCCAGCAACCTTTCTTCACTTAAAGAGTTAGATGTTAG